TCTGTGCCCACACAGCATCCGTCTCCGACGAGAGCTTCCACAGCCACTTGCTAAGAAGGCATTTATTCTTAATTTCTAGATTCTCAATACCTAGACCCCCTTGGTCCTTCGGTCTACAAATAATGTCCCACTTAGCCAGTCTGTATTTTCTTTTCAGCTCATCACCCTGCCAGAAGAACCGCGATCTATAGAAATCTAGTCTCTTCCTGACTCCAACTGGTATCTCAAAGAACGAAAGAAGAAACATCGGCAAACTTGTGAGCACCGAATTAATAAGTATTAACCGGCCTCCATAAGATAAGAGCTTGCCCTTCCAGCAGCTCAGTTTCTTCTCAAATCGGTCTTCAATGCACTTCCATTCTCTGTTCGTTAGCCTACGATGGTGGATAGGAATCCCTAAGTATGAGAAAGATAACTGTCCCAACTCACACCCAAACAATTGTTTGTAGGCCTCCTGCTCATCTTTGGCCCTACCAAAGCAGAACAACTCACTCTTATGAAAGTTGATCTTCAACCCGGTCAATTGTTCGAATAGGCATAACACCAGCTTCATATTCCTAGCCTTACTCACGTCATGCTCCATAAAGATGATCGTATCATCAGCGTATTGTAGGATAGAAATGCCTCCATCAACCAGATGAGGCACCAATCCACCTACTTGACCATTTTCCTTAGCCCATCCTATCAGAATTGCCAACATATCTACCACAATGTTAAACAAGATAGGGGACATTGGGTCTCCTTGTCGTAGGCCTTTATGAGTTTGAAAGTAATGACCTATATCATCATTAACTTTAATTCCCACACTACCCTTTTGCGTAAATGATTGGACCTGCCTTCGCCAGGCTTCATCAAACCCTTTCATACGCAAAGATTGTTGGAGAAATGGCCACTTTATCTTATCATACGCTTTCTCGAAATCCACTTTAAAAATCACTCCATCCAATTTTTTGGAGTGGATTTCATGGAGCGTTACATGCAAAACTACCACTCCTTCAAGAATGTTTCTGTTTGGCATGAACGCGGTTTGGGATTGATGCACCACAGAATGCGCGATCTGTGTGAGCCTGTTGGTCCCGACCTTTGTGAAAATTTTGAAATTAACATTGAGGAGACAGATCGGCCTGAATTGCTCAATTCGTACCGCATCCGTCTTCTTAGGTAGTAATGTGATAGTCCCAAAATTCAGGTGGAATAATTGAAGCTGTCCAGAGAATAGATCATGAAAAATAGGTAGTAAATCCCCCTTAATAATGTCCCAGCACTTCTTATAAAACTCGGCCGGGAAACCATCCGGACCAGGAGCCTTATTATTTTTCATTTGAGCAATTGCCTCAAGAACCTCCTTCTCCGAGAACGGGGCAAGCAGAATGTCATTGTCAGCAGCCGAAAGCTGAGGTATATCCTCAGTCATGGACTCATCAAGTGACACCGTATTCTCCTTCGGTGGACCAAACAACTGCTTATAATACTCAGTGATATAAGTTTTTAGGTTATCCTGACCTAAAATTGTACCCTCGTCCTGCTCGAGCTAAAAGATTCGCTTCTTTCTGTGCTTGCCATTAGCAATTAAATGAAAGAACTGAGTATTTGCGTCCCCCTGGACCACTCTACGAACCTTAGCACGTAAAGCCCACTTCAATTCTTCTTCACGTAGTAGTTCTTTCAATCGCTTTTCCGCCTCATTTTTAACCTGAAGCTCTGCGGGGACTAACACATTAGACTCGACTTTTACGTCCAAGTCATGTATAAGAGAAAGGAGTCTATCCTTTTCAATCTTATACGCACCACTAAGATGCTTAGTCCAACCCCTCAAGAAGTGCAAGAAATCGTGCGCCTGTGTGTGGATAAATATGAAATTGCTAGGAATCGAGCCTTATAATTTTTCAGTTGCATCTTTCACCAAAACTCCCTACTTCTGCCAGCACGGAGATTAATCTGACTCTCTTTTATTGCAAATAGAGCAGTCATCCTCCTTTTCCAAGAAAATAGAGCATTAGTTTGGGACCACTTACAACAAGGGAAAGTGCAAGAAAAGCTATTGCAAGTTCATACTACGATTATAACACCCCATCAATATGATGGACATCTTTTCGTACTAGACCACAATCAATAAATTTGCATGTACAAGCAAGTAAATTCGTATAATTGTTAGGTAGCTGACAAATGACCATAACTAATATAAACATATCACAACCGTTTATGAGCGCATCTGATGGGTTTTCATAGTTGTAAATAGTGATATCACAAAAAAATAGTTTTCAACTACACAAAAATATCAGTCATTGTTATCATGTGCAGGATCTTTACATTAAAGTTCATAACTACACCTTGATTACGTAGCACCATGCTAGACATCTAAACAAAATATATCGCTGGAAGTGGTAGCTCTTATAGCAATTGTACTCATGGACTTAAATAAGTGGACAGATGGCTGGTGAGATAATGAAATCAATAACACATGGCCCATAAATACAATTTGGAATCACTCATTTGCACCTCTACATAGTTCCAGTGAGCTTATAAGGTAAACACTAAAAACTTGCTTATTTGTCTAGGCTGGAGAATCCCCTGTTTTTCAAAACAAAAGGTTGAGTTCTGACCAAAGGGATAACAATATAAACTGTAACCATCAGGGGCAACACAACACCAAATAAAACCAAACTTTCGCATAACTCGTGTGTTCATAAACTCATATTCATCCAGCACCAAAACAACAAGATGTCAGGGCTACCAACTGAAGCACAACAGATGCTGGAAAACTACAGAAACATGGATGGCGTGCTTTGTCTTTCTGAAACAGAAGTTGCACAAGAAAGCAGGATCACTGCGGTGGCGTGTCCGACAGCTTGCTTGCGGTGTCAGCTTCGGATGCCCTGTAACCCAGCCCGGGCCGCGATGGCTTCTCCTTCTCGCCTTCATAGTCGCGGGCGTCCCGCAGCGAGGCCTCGAAGTCGGTGGAGTCCATCGCTGTTGGCAGGAGGCTGCCGATGTCGTCTTTGGCGCCGAAGCCGCCGGCTCGCATGACATCATCGGCTGAGATCGCAGCTTCCATGTTCATATCTACAGAATTGTGACCATTCACTGAAGTCGGATTTCTGGTGTGAGAATCTGCAGTGTGCTTCAGGGCCCCTTGATCGTCTGTCAAGGCATCTGGCTTAGTTTGTTGAGCTAGTTGCCCACTGCCCAAGTTCTTCCCGTCCATGCCTGCAATGATATGCCACTAGATATGAAAACTCCATGCCAAGGCACCACATTATACACAGTAACATCGTGCTTAAATGATTTCCTGCTTTACGATATCTAATCAGAACTTCAGAAGTAGTATTTGACAAGATGCAGATAAAGTACCCTCCTCCTTGGCAAGTTACCTATATTCCTGATTATATGCAACAAAGGAAACTGCAGGCAAAGCTACTGCAGAGTTCATGGCACAATGATTATGACACCCATCCATGGCACAAAGTATCAATGTTAATTACTCCAGCCGTGCCTTGCAGTTGCAGCGACAGAAATTCCAAAGGAACAATGCTCGGTTCAGTCAGAAACGCAGTGGTCTCTTCTTTGCTCGCGCGCTTGTGTACAGAAACTATCAAACATCACGATGCTACAGATCTCACCTCATAAATTTTCCATCAAAACTTTCAGCAGAACTTGCTACTTCTACTAGCGCCAAGATTAATTTGAACCCCCTTTTCTTAATCTCAGAACAGAGCACAAATCAGCTGCTCCAGCGACCTGCGCCTCCTACTTTCCCTTGCTCGATCGATTCCCCGGAGCAACTACAAACCAAACCACACAGACTGCGGAAACAGATTCCTAACTTTATATGAACGCTACTCGTGCGGATCGATCCATACGAAGCTACAAAGAACCAGAAGATGAGACGGGGAGTAACAGATCAAGAACAGAGCGGAAGAGATTAACCAGCTGCAAGGCGACGTCGCACTCACCGGCTGCAGATCGAGTCGGCGAAGAAACGAGGCGCCGCAGATTCGAGAGCTCGCTCCTTCCACACAGCCAAGGAAATCCTTTCTTTTTACCGAGGCAATCCAATCCCCTCTTCACTTCGCCAGTTCACTTCTGTTCCAGTGCTCTCCTGACTTGGGTTGGATCACCGCGTGTTCAGCGAAAGAAGGGGTAACGTGGCACTGCGGTTTTCCCTTTTGGGCCGAATGGACGTTCGTTAGGCTTTTGTTTATTTCAGTTGGGCCAGCTAGTTTTATTCTCTCTCTCTGTCTCTCGTATTGCCCAAACATTTCTTTGATCTTAAAAATAAAAATAACAAAATAAGGACCCCTTTAGCTGGCGAGCGCTCGCAAGGAGGGGGTGGCATTGGCGAATGGTTTCTCTAGCATTTTTTCCTTGCGATGGATGTCGGTTACTTTAGAGCAACATGGCAGTTTCTGTCAGAGAAGACAATTTGTCTACTTCTTTTATGGGCATTTCGCCGACCAATTGAGCAATAATAGTTTTACAATGTTTATTATTATAATTTTCTCTAACATGTACATAAAAAGGAAAAATCAAAATTGCACTTTGAGGACTATCCATATCTTCAAGCGCCGCGTATTTTGTAGAGTTAATTACACCTAGGGTACATAAACTTTCGCGGTGGTAGCGAATCCATACACAAACAAAAAAAACCCCATAAAAGTCATACATTAACTCTCATGCGGATTTGTTAGCTACAAAACGCATGCAAAGTGGACAGATGGGCTGTCACGCACGCAATGGGGTCGAGCGTGTATGCATTTGTATCTTTACAGTTACCCTCCTCAGTTTACCGAGATTTAACCCGTGGCCATTCTCTCTGTATCCCAATCCCCTTCTTCAAATCCCTAGCTGCGAAGGCGACGCGACCGGCCGGCCGTCGTGCGTCATGGAGAGGCCTTGGTCGCGGCTTCAACCAAGTCGGCGGCTCTGTCAATGGCGGCTTCGACCAAACCGACGGCGGCTCTGTCAACCAAGGCGGCGGCGGCTCTGGCACTGGATGCGACATGGATGGCGAGTGGAGAGTCACATCAGAGCTTAGTTTTGGCTCCAAAAAAGCGATGAAGGTATGTTCTTTCCTCAATTTTCTTGTTGTATTTCTTGTTTTTGGAGAGTCACTTTGGAATTTTAGGGGGCATGCGGAATTACTGTATCCAATGAAGGATTTGATGCGGCTGAATGTGGGTGCGAATTGACGCCAGTTGTTAGGGTTTGCAATGAAGGATTTGATGCAGGCCGGCGATTTCTGAGTTGTCCATATGAGGTATGAGATAAGGTTTTGACTGTTATTTGTTTCACTGAATTTTGCACTGTATGACAGTTTTGACTGGATGTGTTTCTGTAATTTGTAATGTACACGGGTTAAACTCCTGTGGGTATTTGAGGTGGATGGATGATGCATGGCAGGGCAGATCAAGGGTGGTAATTCGAAAGCTTGCAGATGACAACCAGAAGCTACAAAATGCTTTGCTTGACAAGGAACAAGACATTCAGAGGATGAAGAAAGAGAGGAATAAATTAGATGAGCAGAGGAAAAGTAGGGAAAAATTAGATTTGTTTCTAGTACTTGTTGTTCTTGCAAGTGTAGTGATTTATGCTCTAGTTGCATTGGTTAGTAGGGGATTTGTGTGAGGATTACTCAAACAAGTATGTGTGACTGTATGATGAACAAGTTTGTCAAGTTTGAAAATTTTCATGCCCAATTATTTGTCTTTCTTATTCTGCAAATTTGACAAGTTATGTTACCCACACAGAACTTCAGACAAAGAAACTCTCAAATGCAAAATAAGTAGAACACTGAAGAAATCCACTGGATTAACACTGAATTTCACTGAAGAAGTTGACTGGATTAACACAGAAATACAGAGTACAGCAGTGATTAACACAGACTGAGTAAAACAAAGTTGAGTTGATTAACACAAACTGACCTGAGCATTAGAAGCTTAGTACACTCTTACTACAACACAAATTAACTTGGGCATTAACACAAATTAACTTGGGATAAACTGGAGCACTCTGAACTTTCTGAAACTCTCATCACTGCAACAAGACAAGAGTTCTGAAACTCTGAACTTTCTGAACCTCTAGTCCTCGTCGGATGACAGGTCGATGTACTCTGTGACCGGGCGGCTGCAGCTTGGCTCCGGACCATGGCTAACATGCACTGGTGCCTTCCTCGCGGCTGCAGCCTGCCTCCGGACCATGGCGTCGCGCGCCGCACTGTGGTATGCGACGGCCTGCCGCACTCTAGCTGCGTCTGATGCCTGAACATCTACGCGGAGCCCCAAGACTTCTTGGCACTCGTCGACGGTGAACCTGCGAGTGGATTCTTCCCTCGCTGCAGTTTCATTGGAGATGGCAACGACACGTCTGTCGATGGCCGCTTGCAGGTCACGGCTGGCATGTTCCCTGCGGACTGTGCCGTACGAATTCACTAGGGCAGTCTGCTGATCAATGGCGGGCACCACGGCTGGGAGCGGCTGCTGCTCGGGCTAGAGGGGAGCGTGCTCCCATGGCTCAGGCTGGAGGGGAGCGTGCTCACATGGCTCGGACTCGGGCATGGTAGGAGAGGGATTGGGCGGCGGAGCAGGGGTGGAAGAGGAACGAGGACGTGTGACGTGATCCCATGTCCCGTTGATTGTTGCCCAGGTGGTGATGAGCTTGCGCACCATTTGTGTCAGGTGGTGATGAGCTTGCGCAGGGAAGAGGTGGCTCGAGTTTGGCCATGGTGACCATGGCTTTTGTAGAGGCCGAGAGGCGATGGCGGGAAGAGGCAAAGGCGGGAAGAGGCGTTGGCGGGAAGCGGCGTTGGCGGGAAGAGGCGAAGGCGGGAAGCGGCGATGGCCCACCGGCGTACGGGTGGTGTCGTGCGCCGTTCTGTTTGGCCGGAGGTGGTAGACGATGCAGTGTCCGTTGATTTCTGATCGAACGACTAGTAAGGTTTAGCTATATATACAAATTGTAAGGTTGGCAGCATATGCTTGATATCCTCTCATAGCCTACTGGTACGATCCCCACTGTCACAAGCACCAGATACTGGGTTCGAGTCCCAGTATCAGACCAAAAAAATTGAATAATTTTTCTGCATATTTAGTACTGCAAATGCAAATGCAAATAGATAATAGTAGTATCATATTTGTTCTCAATTTTTCAGCCTATTTAGTACTGCAAATGCAAATGCAAACTTGTAGATACATAATTTGCAGCCTCATATAGCATGAACAAATATGAAGATCAACAGCATTTTCAACCTCATATAGCATGAACATTTTTTTCCAGATGAACAACTTGGCTCCATATAGCATGACAGATATGAAGATCAACAACATAATCATTGTGCACCATGCATGATAGATATATGACAGGCAAAATGAAGGTCCACCATGACCTAACTGACTACCAGTGCATTACAAAACATGTTTTGTTGCAAGGTTGCAGTTCATACATGAACTGGGATATTTTTTGCAGTTCAGCTATGAACTAATAGAGCAACTAAACTAATTTTCTGGAGTCCTAGGGGCATTCTGTGTCACTGGAATCTCCTCATTCAAGTCTGGTATGGCATTCCTTGCTCCATCTTGTCCAAACATCAACTGCCACATAGCATAATCTTCAGCTCTTCTCCCTTTTGCACCAGCTCCTCCCCCTGCTGCTTTTGGGCCTCTTCCAGCTCTACCTCCTCTTCCAGCTCTACCTCCTCTTGCGCCAGCTCTTCCAGCAGCTCTTCCACCAGTCCTTCCACTACTTCTTCCACCACCTCTTGATTTCTTCACTGCTCTTCCTACATTGGCACTTGTTCCAGGCTCATCTGCATTTGAAAAGTATAGTAAATTAAGTACATGCAAATAGTCAGGACCAACACTTGTGATTTCAGTTAAACAGTCAATACCTGCATTTGGTACCACTTGTGTTGTTGCCCTTCTCTTGCCTCTGCTTGCCATAGTTGTTCTTCCTCTAACAGTTGCAGTAGTATTTGTTCTTCTTTGTGGAATCAAATCTCTGGCATCAGCTACAAAATTGGATTCCTCTGGGAGAGGTCTAGGTGGCACCACGCTTGTAAGATGAGCCCTCTCCTGCAACATAAAGTGCAACAGTAAGTGAAACATGCATGTTGCTTGTGTCATTGACATCCAGTGAAATGCAAATTAGTACCTCTTGTCCCATTGTGTACACCATGATGCTCCTATCATTGATTGGATCTAGCCTATGATTGATGTGATGAGGCAGTATATCCTACACATGACAATTAAGTCACACAATGAAGTAAAGTGCAATGAAATGCTGGTATAATAATATGCACTAACCTGGATAATTTCAGGGCATGCAAACTCATCTTCCTCTTCCTCTTCAACTTGTGGCTCCTGCATTTGCCTTTCCATGTATTTTCCATGACCCCTTTTCTTGTAATCATCTTTTTCATAAACTGAACAGTGCATTGCCACACCCTTCTTATTGAGATAAACTGTGCCATCATTCTTCTTCTTCTCTTCTGGAGTTTTCCTCCTCTTTGTGGTTGGCCTTCCCATGACCTTAGTAAACAAGGGAGGATGGATGTACATTCCATTTAGCTTCTCCAGTGGGTCCTGTCTCTGAGAGGCATGATATTGTGACCATAGGCTTTCAGATAAGTTTCTATGGTGCAACATTTGTGCACCAGCTCCTCAGGGTCTATCCTCTCGGCCCTACAAACAACTATAACATGTGGACAAAGGATTCCACTCAACCCCCAGCTCTTGCAATCACAAGTTCTACCAATGATATCAACTATATATGAGTTGGGTCCAGATTGCACATGATAAATGCCATTGCTAGCATCTCTTGGAAAACAGTTACCACTCAACTCTGCATTCTTTTCTAACTTCTTTCTAATCTTTGGACAGATTCTTCCAGTCCACTTTTCCACTGCCTCCCTATGCTTGCTAGCAAGTCTTAATGAAAGTTTTCCCAAGATACACTCTAACATGGATATAATGCACATACCCCTGGCATCTAGTATGTAGCTGCAATGTATTTAAAACAGTTGTATAAGTAAATCAGTTGTATGTAGTTGCAAAGTATTTAAATGAGCAATTCACTCATCAATGAAAGCATCAAGGGAAATTAAAGAAGAACTGAGGATGTACCTATTGAAGACCTCAGACATGTTGTTCAAGAGGATATCACACTTGGGGAAGTCACTAAAGAAGTTCTTAACCCATTGGTTAGGTGCTTTGTCCTCAAGCCAGTTGTAAGCTTCAATGCTGGCCTCTTTCATTTTCTCCATGTTTTGTGTCCACTTTGGCAAATTTGTTGATCTTGCCATGGCCCACAAAAGGTTTTTCAGTGTCTCCCCTTTGAACTTCTTCTGAAAGTTCTGGTATAAGTGCCTAACACAAAGTCACACATAAGCACACATGAAGAAGCACAGTTCTACAGAGCACATGTACACATGAAGAAGCACACATTTGCATTACCTTTTGCTTGTCACTCATGATAGTATATGGGCATGTGTTCACAATGTTGAGATCATTCTTAAGTGTTGTCAAGAACCATTCCCATGTATAAGTAGACTCCACTTCCACCAAACCCATAGCAATAGGAAATATGCAGTCATTTGGGTCTATGCCCACTGCTGTCAGTAGCTGGCCTTTGTACTTGCTCTTCAAGTGGCAGCTATCCAGAAATATTATAGGCCTACATCCCTTTAGAAACCCTCTCTTGCAAGCATCATAGGACCAATACAGTGATGACAAATGGTCCTTTGGGAGTGCATCATCTTTCCCCTTCACCTTGGTTGTTTTGACAATAAATTTGCTCCCAGGATTTCACCTTCTTAGTTATTGACCATAATCCGTATTGTTCTGCTTCATCTCCATGGATGATAGCAACTGCTGCCTTTCTAGCTCTTCCCAGTTTCATTTTATTGGGCATCAACTTAAACTCTCTCTACACTTTGTTCCCAAATGTTGTGAGGTCCATTTTTTGGTTGTCTCTAAACTCATTAATGAATTTCTGTGTCAGAATCTTAACAGTCAGACACTTGGAATCAACGTGTTTCTGGCATGTGTGATTGTCATTGTACTGCCTTATCACAATGCTTCCAGTCCTATTGTCCTTTTAAGCTTTAAGCAGCCAAGGGCATCCCTAAGAACACACTGCATTAAGCCTCTCACTCTCATTTCTTGGTTTGAAAATTTCGACTCTGTTCCTCACAGTGTATGCATCCAATGCCATCCTCAGCTCTTTCATGTCACCAAACACAAGCCCTACTCTGAACACTGGATTGTTCATGTCAACTTCTGGATTGTAAGCCCTAAATGTGTACTGCAGTTTCTCAAGTTCTGCTTTGGACAAGTTTAGATCATCATCATCTAAAGGATCATCTTCTGGTACATATCCTTCCTGCTCATTGTAGTCACCAACTTCTGCATCTACATTCTCAAGGAATAGATCATCATCCATATCTTCCACATCATAATCACTCTCATCAAAATCTGAATCAGTTTCCTCTCCTTGCTCTGTTCTTGCTGTGCCATCTCCTGCCTCTCCATTATCTTCTTCCTCTCCTGCCTCTCCATTAGGTTCTTCCTCTCCTGCCTCTCCATTATCTTCTTCCTCTCCTGCCTCTCCATTATCTTCTTCCCCTATTCCTT